GGACTTTCCTGCCCAGGCTGGCTTTGAACCTCGATCCTCAGATCACAGCCTCCTGAGTAGCTAGGATTACAGGTGTGAGCCACTAGTGCCCGGCTTGTTTTGTTTTATTTTTGGTGTCACTACTGGGGCTTAAACTCAGGGCCTAGACACCTTCCCGAGCTTTGGTGCTCAAAGCCAATGCTCTACCTCTTGAGTCATAGCTCCACTTTCAGCTTTTTCATGGTTAATTACAGATTACAGCATGACAGGCTGGCCTCAAACCCTGATCCACAGATCTCAGCCTCCTGAGTAGCTAAGATTACAGGCACAAGCCACTAGCACCTAACCTTTTTTTTATTTTTCCCCTTCTTTTCTTCTTCCCTCCTTCCCTCCTTCCCTTCCCCAGGGTCTCACTTTGTAGCTTAGGCTAACATGGAACTCACAATCTTCCTGCCTCAGCCTCCTGAGTTCTGGAATTACAGGCATACACTACCATGCCCAGCAAATCTGCTTTTGATGGAGATGTCTAGGACTCTTGTGCATTCAAGTATGATAATGCAGCCATAGAGCAGTAGCTCTGGACCTTGAATACAGAGTGGTATCATCTGGTGGGGCAAAAGAGGGCTTGGAACAGAATTCTGATGCATAGGCCTATCTCCCAGCAACTTTGGTGGGATCTCTCTGTGGCCCAAGTTTAAGGAGTTCACAAGCTCTCAGGTACAGTCTTGAGTTGAAGACCCTTTAAAGTTAAAGACCCTTAAAGACCTTCATGTACAGTTAGGCCTGCTCACCCTGGGGCACAGACCCTAGGACTATTTAACTGACATTCTTCCTCTGGGTTAGGGTTATTCCCATAAATAATGGAGAAGGTGGCCTCAGGCCATTACTCACAGGATGATTCTTCTTCAGAGAGAGCACTGTGTGGAGAGAGTACAGTCCTGAGCTTCAGGCCAGGAGGGACACCAACCCAGGGGAAGCCAGGGCCCTGCTTCTACTTCCAGCAGGGATTTGTGGGTAAGGCCTAGGAAAGGGTCAGCAGATAGAGACATACCTGGAAGCTTTGGAGGAATGTAATCCAGATTCCAGGGATCACAGAAATAGGGTTGGAGGAAGTCAACGTTGGCTTGACCCACTGTGATTTGCTGGCCATACTGCTGTGTGTCCACCACCTTTACCACAAGGGGCAGCGCATAGGTCTCCTCTGTAGGCATGAACTGTAGTCCAAGAAATGGTAGACAGTATGAGGCCTCTCAAAAGAAGAGGGCTGCTCAGCCCTGCCTCAAGCCCTCTTACCACTGTGAGGAATAGGACAGAATCAGGAAAGTTGGGGTTGGTCTCAAAGTCCTGGATGGCTTTAGTTCCCACAGACTGTTCCCCAAATTCCACCAGGAGCTGGGGGTAGCGCACTTCCTTCATGTTCCGAAGGCCCAGAGCCAGGACCTGCCAGAACAAGAGCGGGAAGATGGGGGAAAGGGCCTTTGAAATGGGTCTGGGTCAGAGGGGGCTGCAACGGTGCATTGGAGAGTGTGTAGGGCTAAGGAATGAGTCAGAGTAGGAAGGAAGAGTCTGAAGGCTCCCTTGAGGTCTCCCTGCGAAAGATCTTGCTAGCCATTTCAAGACAAGGCTACATGGGAGATACCATGTAGTTGCTAATTACTTCCTCATTGCTACTTTTCTGGGCTCAGACCAGAGGCTGGTTGCTGTAGAGTTCACAGAAGCAAGTGGGACCTAGATTTCTGGGCCATCTAGCCTTGATAGTATTTTTTTTTAAAGGCCGGGCCAAAAAAATAGTTATAATGCTCTATTTGAGCCTTTGCTCTGTTTCTCTGTCTCTCTCCATTCTCCAGATTGTTGCTTTAGGGTCTAAACTTTGGGTCAGTTGATAAGGCCAATCAGAAAGTTCTAGGACATTCCAGGCTGTTCTGGGTGGTGCTTGGCCTCTGCCTGCCCCTCCCCACTATGCACCTCAATGGCCATCTTCTTCAGTGTAGGCTGAATGTTCTTGGGCAGTGTGTAGATCTTATCCTTCCAAGGTATACTTAAGATTGGCATATGCTTCTGTTTCAGCTTCTGGAGGACAGAGGAGAGAGAACAGAGAACATGAAGGCTCTGTGGGTTGGACTCTGTGGGTTTTCCCAGCCCCAAACCAGGCAGGTCACTTTGAGGGCTCAAAGGAGGCCTCAAAGCCCCATGGATCAGAGGTAGAGGGGATTAGGGACAATGTCCTGGTTCTTAGGCCTCAGGCCTTTCATGAGGGGATGAGAAGGGTCCTTCTGGCTGTGAAAACTTGTGGCTGGGCCAGGGTAGAGCACTGAGCACACCCCCTCCCAACCAGCTGCTGTCTTCCAATACCTCAGTCTCAAGGATCATCTCACAGGAGGATAAGATCTCATACTCTTCCTCCTCAAACCCTTTTAGAACAGGGTGCCACCTTAGAGGGGGTAGTGTACGGTCTTCAATGTCCAGCCAGACCACTGGGGGCCACATACTCCATCCACATAAGATTTCCTTTCCCTGGAAGGGACGAGAAGATCACAGAACCTGCACAGAATAGCTTCTGACCTGGGTTTCTGATTAGGATCAGGGAACCACTAACTTTTATGTTTATGTGGCCTCTTCCTCATTGGACCATTTCCCTGACACTTTCCTTTAAAGACCAGGCTGCCTGTAAGGTGGTCCTGTTCATTCTTCCCAGCCTGCTATACCTTGGAGTCATGCTGCCAGAGTTCCAGCACCACAAGTGGGGGGCTCTCTTTAGTATCCTTAGGATTCTCATACAGCAGGAGGTGCTGGAAGATGATCGTCTGGGCCCATGTGGGGGCTACAGAGCTCTTCAAGGTCTGGGTGCAGAGGCTGTGGTTCAAGAAGCTTACCCGGATGAAGGTCCCTGGAGGGGAGAAGGAAGACAAGGAGTCCTGTGTCTCCAAGCTGCTGAGAGAGGCTTTCCTCTCCCTTGCAGGGGCAGCCATCAGACTGTGTCCAGGGAGACCCTGCAGACGTGGCTGCAGCCACTGCCACGGCCATGCCTGCTGTGCAGAAGGCTGCCTCAGCACACCCTGCACATCAACTCAAGAGGCTTTGGTTCCATTCACATATTCTCCATGCCCACCATTGTTGAGGCCTGGCCTTTACAGAGATGCAAGTTGAAGGCTCCTCAGTAGGGTTCTGGAGACAAGGCTGAGCCTTCCCAGCACCAGTAGGAGTGGCCCTACCATGGGGGTGGTCATGTTCTGTAGACACACGTCTTGGCGGATATTCCTGAAGCCCTGCTACCCACTGCCCCAGCTCCTGTATCAGTGGCACTAAAGAGACAAGGTGGGAACACTTGCATTATCTCTCATGCCTTTCATTAGATCAAGGATGAGCTCCTCCCACACAGGGCTTCCTCTTGCCCCTCTTCTGTCCAGCCACATGCTGCTGGACAGAGCTACCCTCTCACATGCCTTCATGTCAAGTCCCATTGAGCTAAGCCTCCTTAAGTCCCACTTTCAATTTCACAGCATTGGAATCATACCTCAAGAGAAGGCCTACCTTGTACTTGGGTCTTTTCTCAAAATGACAGCCATGAGCTGTTTGGGGGATGGAGATGGGATGTCTAGATCTTTGTTACCTCCCGATTTATTATGCAACTGGATGGCCCTGTTGCCAGACCCTGGGGAGTTGGGGGATAAAAACTGTATGACAAGGGACATTCCTACCCTGGAAAGTCAGGATGTGGTTGGACCTCAAGTTCCGGGCCTGGTAGATGTAGCAAAAGAGCTGGTAGTAGTGGGGCTCTGGGGAAAGAGAAGCCACGTCTTTCACCTGTCACTTGGGCCCTCATTGGCTGCCCCGTGGGTCCCCCATCCCGTCCCTCAGGAAGTAGCCTCTGGGCCCACTCAAGCAGTGCTCACTGTTAAGAGTGTGGTAAATGAAAGGCAAGGAGGAGAGATAGCTGTCCTCTTGGATAGGCTTCTGGGACTCCGTCACCTTGTATTGTTCGTGCATCGTGCGCTCTCTCAAGTCCATTGCCTGTGCCCAGAACAACGCCTCCTAAAGTTCTCTGATGTGTTCCTGTCTCTTCTTGCCCCACACCAGCCTACCCTCTTCCCCTTCCAGATGCCAACTCCCAAGCCTGAAGAGCAAGAGACCCAACCAGGCAGGGCCCTGCTCCTCTGCTAGATGGGGCTTTCAGGTAGATACACCCAGCCCACAGTGGTTTTACCAAGGTTCCTTCTAGGAGGAATATGGAAGCAATGTCTCTGTCCTTGTTGGGTGCCAGCCTGCGGTGCCAGCAGCGGCGGCGGAATCGACTATGAGGCTGAGGGTCCAGGTGGAACTTGGAGCCGAAGGTACCATACTCCCAGCCCTCCTCTCCCTCCTTGGCCAAGTCCTGCTGCAGGGAAGAAAGCAAAGTCATGGTCCTGCCATTGCATTCTCACATGGTCCCTGCCTGGGGTCCCACCCAGGACCCCTCCCTTGGCTGCCTCACCAGCTGCAGGAAGGAAAGGGTCTGCTGCTCATTGCCCTGCTCTTCATGGTTTCGGAAACGCAGTCGTACCCAGCGCCGGCGGCGGCAGGTGTAGTAGGTCTTTTCCACTGAATTCCAGACCTGGGGCAGGCCTGAGGGTGGGATGCCCACTCCGTATTCCCAACCTGTGGAGGCAGCACCATGGCCTCTGAACCAGCAGGTACCTTCAGGCTGGGTGGCTTCCGCAGGCCTGAGAGAAGGGCCCTAGAAGGCTAGGCTAGAGGAGTGGGAGCTTTTCCTCATTTGCAAGAATGTGTGGTCACAGTGTCACCAGTATGGCCTGAGCCCCACTGCCTATCTTACAAACAAAGGTGACAAAGAAAGCCACATGAGCAGCAACGCGTGTGTCTGGAGCCAGACCTTAAGGTTATCCATTCTGTGGGGACATTAAGGCTATCTGTTCTAGCCTATTGCTCCTTTCCAGGAACTGCCTGGGTGAATTCAGGTTCCACAACCAAATCCATGCTCACAGGCATCCACCAAGCCTCACTCTGGGCCAGACCTCAGGGGGTACCTGGTTCAGTCTTAACACTAACATTCATGTCTACAGAGTGAGTGGTGGAGACTCCATTCCCTAGAGGCTGGAGTCCTTCAAAAATTTAGACCCATCTCACCTGATAGCTTGGCTGATTACAAGCTGCCAAAGATTCACACCCTCATTCCCAGCCTACCCAGAATAATTTCCGGTGGACTTGGTGTTTTGGTGTCCACCAGGACCTTCTGCCCTCAGCCTCGATCAGAGAACTGACCTTCATTGTCTACTGCGAGGTTGTGCTCCACAGCCCAGCTCTTCTCAAAGTGCCAGCCTTGGGGACACTCTATATCCACCAGGGCCTTCACAGGCTGTCCATTCTGTGGGGGACATTAGGGTTGTCCATCCTGTGGGAATCTAAGCTGGATAAAGCCTGCTTCCACTCACTCTACATACACTCTTGTCTGAGAACCTCCCTCCTGCCAGGGTGCAATAGTTACTACGTATTTCTTCCTCCCCCCGCCACTACATATTTCTTGAAAAGGGAAAACTAGCATACACTTGAGATAGGCTAGAGTTTTATGTCCTATAGCATGCTCACATGTGTTTCCTGCTTCAGCCTGCCAAATAGCCGGGGCTACAGGTACCTACCACTATATCTGTCTGTTTCAGACTTATTTTTGTCTGTGTGTTCAAGCCAGTACTGGGGCTTGAACTCAGGGCTTAGGCGCTATCTGTTAACTTTCTCACTCAAGGCTGGCTCTCTACCATTTGGGCCCACAGCTCTACTTTTAGCTTTCTGGTAGACAACTGGAGAAGAGTCTTACAGAGTTCCCTGACTGGTCTGGCTTCTGTGATCCTTAGAACTTAGCCTCCTAAGTAGCTAGAATTACAGGTGTGAGCCACTGGCACCCTGGCCTTGTTCCTGACATCTTATTTAAGGAATCTCTAGCATGCCATCTTGGGATACAACTCTCTCAGTCCAAGAGAGGGTGCCTAAGGGCTGGAGGGCTCACTTTATCCCATAGTGCATAGGGAGCAGGGGTTAGATGTAGTTCTTTCTGCTGGGTCACCCCAGCTTCCCAGCTTCCCCACTTGGTTGCCTTGCTGCCCCCATCCCCTGAAAAAGGTTGGCCCAGCTCACCAGGTCAGTGTTCGGGATGGCTGCAGGTATCCAGGTACCTGTGGCATCACGGATCTGGTTCTCGTACACCTCCTCCAGCACTTGGCTCTTGTTGATGTCTATGTCTAGGAGGAGTCTGCCAGCAGTGAGACCCCCAAATCCTCCCTGAACCAGCAGGTCTTGGGGCCATCTGTATTGGCCAAGCATTCCCCAACTGCATCCCCATCTGCTCTGGGCAAGGCAGGGCTGGCAAGGCCTGACTTGCCATGTGCTTTGTGTACCTCACCCACAGGGACTGGACCTCTTTGGGTTACCACTGACTTGTTGTCCCAGGTGACAAGAAGCCCACTTTAGTGAAGCTTTCTAGAGCTAGTACCCCTGGGCTTACCTCCTCTGAGGCTCTACTATCCAGTTGCCCTGCCAATGCCATCCTGTGGGCTCAATGAAATTCGTCTTGGAGAGGGCCTTGTGTCCCATGACATCTGAGAAGCCAGGACAACGATCCAATCCCTTCTGTCCCCACTGGTCTTTATACTTGGCCTGATTTTCATACTGGGGAAGGAGAGACCCAATTAGTGCCTGTACTTCTCCAGCACCTAGTGTTGGGGAAGTTAGATACCTGTCCCTCATGCCTTAGAAATGTGGTAGCCAGACAAGGAAAAGGTCCATGTTCTTTTCTTGTGGCAGCAGGAAGGAGACAGAGATTCAGGGATCAACACTGCCCCAGATTGCTCAGCTAGCAAAGTAGGGTGGATACTAGGACTAGTATCTTCTACTCAATTTTCCCTTCTCTAGTCACTGCAGACCTGGAGAAACACAGTTCCCTGTGCAACTGTCCCCTGTGCTGCTCTACTTGGTTGAATCTGCCAATGGGAAAATCTAAGATGTGGAGGGCCTTCCGTATTATGATGTGTTTATTGACACATTCAATTTAAAAGCATAAAAATACTTTCATTCAGCAAATGTGGAAGCCCCAAACTCAAACCTTACTTTATCTCTACTGTCAGCACTGCTCCTGGGTCATGTCCTTCCCAGGGAGCAAAGATCCTGGCCTGTCTTTTGATTCCAGAACAATCTTCGGCTCTTTCCTCATTTACACTCTAAGCTGATGGTTCTATAGGCAGACCCCTCATGTCCCGCTTCTCTCACCAGCCCAAGCCCACTCCGTCCCAGGACCACCAAATCTAAGTTGGGGTCCTCAGGGGTCCCAGGCTGCCCTGGTAGTGACAAAAAAGCAGCCCAGATTCATTTACAAATAGTGAGCAACCTAGGAGAAAGCTCTCACTAAATCTCTATCAGGAAGACTGTGACCAGGCCCCTGAGTGGGCAGTCTTCATTTTTGTCAGCTTAAATCTATTGCTTGTGAACAAACAGCAATTTGAGATTTCTTTAGTCTCAGATGCCCTCGGACATAATTTTCAGATTGTGTTGATAAAATGTTCAGGTTGTGGTGCTAGGCTAGTAGGGTATCACTTTCTTTATACTGTATAACTTGTCTTTTTGTTTTTTTGGGGGCGGTGTCCGGTCGTGGGGCCTGAACTCTGGGCCTGGGCGCTGTCCCTCAGCTCTTCAGCTCAAGGCTAACGCTCTACCACTTGAGCCACAGCACCACTTCTGGCTTTTTTTTTTTTTTTTTTTGCTTATGTGGTGCTGAGGAATCGAAACCAGAGCCTCATGCATGCAAGGCAAGCGCTCTACCACTGAGCCACCTTCCCAGCCCAATATACTGTATAACTTGTCAAGGCTGGTTCTTCCCTAACGTGACCCAACCTCCCTTCTCTCCCTCCCCCATGCCCTGGGCTGTCACTCACCGTCTCTGCATACACCACCAAGTTCCCCTGATGGAGCAGCTTCAGGTCCTTGCTGTCTGTGACATTGCCCAGCCACATACAGACCCGGAGATGGGCCGGGAGTACGTTCTGCTGTTCTTCACCCTCTGGGTACTAAGCAAGAGGCAGGTCAATCCCATGGGGGTGCCAATCCCATGGGAGCCAGGATGTGGATGAGGGAGGGGACACACTCCTGGAATGAGTCATACCACCCCTTCCCCTCTGAGCCTCAACAGCAGGGGCTCTCACATTGAGTTGAGTGCTAGATCTCAAAAAGGGAATAATGGGATTGGATGCCTAGCACCACAAAAGAAAAGTGAACGACAGAGTTATGTCTTTCAGAGAGAGAGAGGGAGAGAGAGAGAGAGGTCACTTGTGAATGGTTATACCCTGTTACCTAGCACAGAGCAGGAGAGAAATAGGGGGAGATGGGTGATGTGGCCTAGGGAGCCAGGAAAGTTCCACAGAAGAGCTGTGATAATGGCATTGATGATAATAGCTATCATTTAATGCCTGCTTGCTCTGGGCTGGTATAGCACTATGAAGCTCTTATGAGAATGACTCTTGTGGGCAAGAGGAGGAGTATCCTTGCACTATTGATGGAAAGAGAAAAGGACAGGCATGTTTGAGGCTGGAGTGGGGAGGTGGGTGAGCAGAATGGCCTGGGTTTATGTAGTGTGAGGTGGCTAGGCAGACCAGAACAGCTGTCTGTACTTTCTTCAAGAGGCAATAGCAACCAGGGATGGCTTATGAGGCTCTACTGTCTCTTAAAAGACATGTCAGGGTTGGGTGGTAGCCAGGATGTCAGTCAGTTTTATTTATAGCTTGGCTTTGATATGAAGGGCTGGTGTCCAAATCTTACAGGCAGTGGATATTTAGGAGGTCACTCAATCATGGTCAAGGAGATACGACAAGGGACTAGATTAAGTGGTGACTATGAGGGTATGGATGACATGTGTTTGAAGAATAACTATGAGGGGGCATTCTTGGCACCAGACCACAGGCTCATGCCCTCCTCTTGGGATTATTTCATTCTACCTATTAAAGAGACAGGGAAAGAGAAAATGGCCCATGCCCTCAGGCAGGGCCATAGAGTTGACCTGTAACTCCAGGAATTCTCCCTGGGAAACTGGGGGCTTTTCCTTCCCCGCCGAGGACCCCTGGAGGAGATGGGTTTCCCACCTGGAGGAGAAGGTTCTGAATTTTCCCACAGAACCTGCCAGAGCACAAGGGCCCTGCTCGTGAGAACAGGATGGTGTGGGCAGGCACTTGAGCAAAAGCCACCCGCTGCTCATTAGCCATCAGCCATATTGTCACATCTGGAAGGCTCATCTGAGGCTGCCAGGGTAGAGGAAGTGTCAAGAGCTATATGGCCAGCCCCTAGCCTTGCTCCCTGCCCAGCGTGTCCAACACCCACCTCGGGAAGTACAGCATTGAGGCGGTACAGCCAGTGCTCCGCAGTGGCCACCATGTTCCTGGGCTTAGCTTCCTTGGCCTTTTGCTCCAGTTCCTTCAGGAGGAGGCTACGGACCTTCCACTTATTCTTATCTAGGATGGTGGCTTTGGGGTGATCAATCATGCTGGGCAGAGGGTACCTGTGGCCAGGATAGGGTAACAGGAAGCTGGACCATTCTCTTCCCTCCCATGCCTCTACCTCTGGACATGTGGTGTGGCTACCTGTCCTTCCTAGCCTTGAGAGCCTATGCATCCATGGTTGCTCTGGCCTGGAGATCCCGCCCACTGTCCCTAGGAAGCCAGCTTACTGAACCTGCCCCAGGCTCCTATCCACTCTCCCACTCTCCCAACCTTGCAAAGTGACCTGTGTCCAAGGATCTCCTGTGGAAGGATATGTGCTAGGGACAGATCAACCAAACCCTGATTGGTGGGGCAGGAAAGGCTTTCTGATGAATGGCCCAGGACAGACTCCTGAGGAGGAAACTTTGGACAGGAGCTATGGAGACAGAGTTGGGATGGCATGGGTTTGTCTGGGTGGAAAGGAATGCTCATGCGGTAGTACCATCAGGCATAAGTATGAGATGTCTCAACAGGGAGTTTGGGGCCATTTTCTTTCTTTCTTTTTTTGGGGGGGGATCCCATCGTAGGGCCTGAACTCTGGGTCTGGGCACTGTCCCTCAGCTCTTCAGCTCAAGGCTAGTGCTCTACCACTTGAGCCACAGAGCCACTTCTGGCTTTTTTCTTTTAGCTCATGTGGTGCCAAGGAATCGAACCCAGGGCCTCAGGCATGCAAGGCAAGTACTCTACCACTGAGCCACCTTCCCAGCCCCGGGCCATTTTCTAGACAAACCTTCATGGGAAGGGAGAACTGGTTCTGTCTAGGTTTAAGCTGGGGAAGGATTTGAGCAAAGCTCACTCGTCCTGAGGTGATATGTGTGGGGAAGAGTTCTGTAGCCTCCAGCCTGTGTGTGTGTGTGTATGTGCGTGTGCGTGTGTGTGTATGTGTGCGTGCGTGTGTGCGTGCGTGTGTGTGTGCGTGTGTGCGTGTGTGTATGTGTGTGTGTGCGTGCGTGTGTGCGCGTGTGTGCGTGCGTGTATGTGTTTGCGTGTGTGTGCGTGTGTGTGCGTGTGTGCATGTGTGTGTGTGCGTGCGTGTATGTGTTTGCGTGTGTGTGCGTGTGTGTGCGTGTGTGCATGTGTGTATGTGCGTGTGTGTGTATGTGTCTCCTAGGGCTTAAACTTGAGCCTAGGCATGATCCCTAAGCTTTTTTCCTCAAAGCTATCACTCTACCAGTAGAGCTATAGCTCCACTTCTAACTTTTTGGTGGTTAATTGGGATAAGAGTCTCATGGGGGAAGTGGGAGGGAAGGGAAGAGTCTTATGGACTTTCCTGCCTGGGTGGGCTTTGAATCTGAACCATCGGCCTCTAGCCTTCAGCCTCCTTTTTGAACCTGAGCTAGTTCAGCCCCAGGCCCAGTACCCTGCAGTCTTACCTGCAGTCCTCCACCAACTCCTTCCGCAGCTTCTCCCACTGGCGGAGCAGAGCTGGGTCCTTTGGATTCCGTATGGATTTCAGGATGGCCAGATTGGCCTTCTGCCCATAGGAGGGAAAGGGAGAGAGCAGGCTTCAAGATGGGTCAAGCTGCAGGGCTGATTTGTGGAGATAACCCAATGATGTCAGTTTAAGGCCGTCACGTGCCTTAGTAAGGCTTGCTTCCAACAATAACAAAACTGATAGACAGGGGGAACCCAGGGTGGGGTAGAATTGGGAAGCAGTGTAGAGTCTGGACCCCTGAGCTGCCTATGTTTTTTGTTGTTGTTTTGTTTTGTTTTTGTTTTTGTTGGTAGTGTGTCTTGAACTCTGGGCCTGGGTCCTCTTCCCTCAGCTCTTCAGCTCAAGGCTAACGCTCTATCACTTGAATCACAGCGCCCACTTCCCACTGTTTCTGTGGTGCTGAGAAATCGAACCCAGGGCCTCATGCATGCAAAGGCAAGCGCTCTACCACTGAGCCACCTTCCCAGCCCCCTGAGCTGCCTATGTAAACGTAAGGAAGTCATGTGTAAGGTGGAAGGACCAGGTGAAGGTCTCCTGAGACCTACTCTGCTTGACAAGTACCAAGACCCTTTGTAGTGACCATTCCCTGATTTTTCTGGCTTTCTTGTTCCCTAGAAACTTCAAAAACTGGGACAACACTGTGAATTTGCATGTTATTCCCATTTCCCAACCCCCCCCCCCAAACTCCTTCCAAAGCCTACTGAAATGTCACTTTTGTGTATACCTCCTGACTCCTCTGTTCATTTCTTCCCTCCTCATCTCTCGGATCCTGAGTCTCGGGGTCCTGTATCACCGTTACTGCCCTATTTCATGGTGTATTCGCTGTGTACATAGCTGACTTGTCACCCAGGACAAGATAGGGCAAGGGCTGTGACTACTCATCTTGGTGTCTTCAGTACCAAGAACGGTACCTGTGAAGAGCACCTCAATGCTGTGGAATGTGTGCATGTGCAGCATAGCTTCCCAAGCCTCCCAATCACTGCCCCTGCCCTGCTGTGGCCCTGCACACTCACCAGGCGGTCCCGAGTGACATGAAGGCAGTTGATGTAGTTCATGCGGAAGGTGACATCCTCCCAGAAGGAGGTCACAGCCACAACAGGCTTGGTGTTGTACCAGGGCACATAGTGGTATTTGTTTCCTGAGACACAGGCACAAGGGTAGAAGGGAACATTGCATGCCTGAAGGATCCTGGAAAGTCCTCCTTACTGCCTCTTCTTTTGAGGATTCTCTCCTCTAAACTCCCTCCCCCCAGCAACCTATTAATTCCTCAAAGATGTAATCTGCTGACTATGCTAACTGGATGACCTCCACAGTAGGGAGCCTAGGCTGCCCCAAAGTGTGCACTTGGGTGAACTCAACAGGCCCCTGTTGAACATTCATTGTGCCCAGTGTGTCACATGGCCTTTGAAAGTTCCTGGTTTACAAGTGGGAAAATCAACACTAGGCATGGAAAACAGTTTGTCTGAGATGGGGCAACCAGGAAGTACTATCACAGGCATCTGGCTTCAGAGGCTCAGACAAGATGCCAAGGCAAAGGGATGTACCTAGATCTAGGGTGTCTTTTCTGGTGGGCTGACCGGCTGGGGAGGAGTGGGTCTTGGTCCAGGGAGGACCTGCCACTACATAGGATGTGTGCATATCAGCCATGGGTATGGCTGACTGGGCCCTGGTGATATTCCATATTGAAATGGGAGGTGGGGGAGAGCTAGCTGATACCCAAAGGGTTCTTCTTCTGAAATGCATTGTGTGGACCTCAACAGAAAAATCCAAAGCATTTTAAAAAGCAACAAGCCCATGAGGCAAGCAAAACCAAAGCTGACTGCGCAGCAAACCTTGGAGAACTTGTGTTTCCTGGCAACTGCAGGGACACAGGGGGCAGGAGGGAAAGCTAGGGGACCACTGATAGTGGTCAGGATGCCCCATGTGTGACAGGCCAAATTGTGTCCCTCTTAAAGATAAAATAAAGGGGCAGGGGGTTTAGCCCAGCGGAAGCGTGCCCGCCTGGCGCGCGCAAGGCCGTGGGTTCGGTTCTCAGCCCTAGTTTAAAAAAAAAAAAAGATAAAATAAAGTTGGATGCTGGTGGCTCATGCCTGTAATCCTATAATCTCAGAAAGCTGAGATCTGAGGACCATGGTTCACAGTCTGGGGAGGAAAATCTTTGACTTTTATCTAATCATAATGGCCAAAAATCAGAAATAGACAAAATATATTTTACTAGTAGAAGAAATACTATGACCCACCCCCCCCCCAATAAAGTATCTAGGAATTAACCTAACCAAAGATGTAAAGGGTCTATTTCATGAAAACTATAAAAGCCTAAAAAAAAAAAGGAATCACAGAGGACACCAGGAAATGGAAAGATTTCCCATGTTCCTGGATAGGCAGAATTAATATAGTGAAAATGGCTATACTGCCAAAATTGATATACACATTCAATGCAATTCCCATTAAAAATCCCAATGACATACTTTACTGAAATAGAGAAAAAAAACAGTCCAAAAATTCATATAGAACAACAAAAGACCTAGAATAGCCAAAGCAATTCTAGGCAAAAGAAACAACATGGGAGGGATCATGATACCAGATTTCAAGCTCTACTATAGAGCCATAATAACAAAGACAGCTTGGTACTGGCACAAAAAGAGACTCAAAGACCAATGGAACAAACTAGTGGACCCAGAAATAAAGCCGCATATGTAGTCAGTTGATATTTGACAAAGGAGCCAAAGACATACAGTGGAAAAATTATAACCTCTTCAACTATTGGTGCTAGGAAAAATGGGTAGCCACATGCAGAAAAATGAAAGTGGACCCTAGCCTATCACCATGCACTAACATCAACTGAAAATGGATTAAAGACCTTAACATCAAATATGATGCTCTGAAACTACTGCAGGACAGAGTAGGAGAGACACTTGAACTTAGAGGCACAGGCAGGAACTTCCTGAACAGAGTCCCAGGGTCACAGCAAATTGGAGAGACTCGACTACCTTAAAATAAAAAGTTTCTGCACAGACAAAGAAATAGCAACCAAACTAAAAAGAAAGCCAACTAATTGGGAAAAAGTATTTACCAGCAATATATCAGACAAGGGGCTAATAGTCAATATATACAGGGAACTCAAGAAACTAACCTCTCACAAATCTAACAAACCAAACTAAAGAGAGACTTCTCAGAAGAAAAGATAAAGATAGCAAAGAAACACAAGAGGAAATGTCCATCCCTGGCTGTAAAGGAAATGCAAATAAAAACAACACTGAGATACCACCTTATCCCAGTCAGAATGGCTCACATCCTAAAGTCAGCCAACAACAAATGCTGGAGGGGATTTGGAGAACGAGGAAGTCTACTGCATTGCTGGTGGGAATGTATACTAATACAACCACTTTGGAAAACAGTCTGGAGATCCCTCAGAAAGCTAAACATAGACCTCCCCTATGACCCAGCCATACCACTCCTAGACAGCTATCCTGAGCAACAGGAATCAGTATACAAAGACACATGCACTTCCATGTTTATTGCAGCACTGTTCACAATAGCCAAGATTTGGAAACAACCCAGATGCCCCACTACTGATGAGTGGATCCAAAATTTGTGGTACCTATGTACAATGGAATATTATGCAGCCATTAGAAAGGACAAAATAATGGCATTTGCAGGGAAATGGATGGAACTAAAGCAGATTATTTTCAGCAAAGTAAGCCAAGAACAAAGAGACAAATGGCACATGGTCTCCCTGATATGTAGATGCTAAAGCCAAAATACAAGAAGATATGGCAAATAGGACTCAAGAAACAAAGGACAGCCACCCATTTTGTCATATCATTGCTAAGTGACTCCACATTCTGGACCATATATATGGTAGATATATGCACACAACAGAGGAAAGCCAGGAGGAGGAACAGAATAAGTGGGAACAGCCTACGCTAAGCAAAAGGAAAGACATGTAAACATCACCTGATGTGGAAAAAACTTGTATTGTCAAAGCTCATAGAATTCACAAACTGTATAGACCATGATAATGACAATTTGCCTTGTGAAGGTTAAAATGTGCTTGTGACTTTAACAATACTGTGAAATATGTGAAATTTATGTAATTACCTAATCTCAATTAAAGAAAAAAAGTGAGAGAAGGGATGGGTAAGGAGAGATGGGTGACAATGTTGTCAGACACCTTGTACTCATATACTGTTTTGTAGAATGGGAACTTCTTTGTACAACTATTTAAAGATAATCTTTAAAAAAAGCCAAAATGACAGCTCAAAAAATAGTAGAAGACATAAACTATGACACACAATTGTCTCTCAATATCCTCAGGGAATTGATTCCAGAACACAAACTTTTGTGCCTGAGCAAACCTCAAACTTTGATCCTCCTTTTCCCAAGTAGCTAGCTTAAGCCACCATGCTCATCTATGAGTTTTTAAATTTGTAATTAAAAAAAAATTTTTTTTACTAATTTTGATCCCTGGTTAGGTGATTCTGTGAATAACTACAGGGTCGACTATACTCATATAATGGAATATTATACCATAGTGAGCATAAGCTACAACTATACCCTATGTTATCTAGACTCGTGAGTACATTTCACAAGGAAACTTATGAACAAAGAAGCCAGATACAAAGGATTCCATACTATCTTAATTTCTTGCATAGCAAATTAGCATAAGAGAAGATGAGATGGATACAGTGGTTCACATCTTCGTCTTAGCTACTCAGGAGACTGAAGTTGTGAGGTTCATGGTTCAAGTGCAGCCTGGGCAAAATGTGTAGGAGATCCTGTCTCAACCAATGAAAACAAGTTGGGTGGTAGTACACATGTCACTCCAGTTACATGGAAGTGAAACAGGAAGACTGAAATCCCATCAGCCTTGGGCAAAAAGGGAGATCCTATCTGAAAAGTAAGTAAAGAGGGCTAAAGCATCACTCAAGTGGTAGAATTCCTGCTTAACAAGTGAAAGGCCCTGAGTACAAATCCCATTTCTGCCCTCCACTCAAAACAAACAGCTGAGGGAAAGTAAAAGAAGGAATGACATTGTCCCAAAAAGAATTGTACTCATTACCTGACTTAGGAAATGGTAACCCCTCTGTACAACACCTTAATAGTAACAATAAAATTATATTACGAAAACAAGCAAGCAAAGATATTGTTTAGGAGAGCATTTGCCTTGGTGGGAGTAGTGGCTGAGGGTTCCTTGGTTTAACATCCTACTTTACAGGTATGTTTTCTTTATGATTATTTGCAGAACTCAACACGTGGTTTATGTATGCATGTTATCTTTGAATCAAACATTTACTTAAGAAACAAAATTTTAGGGGCTGGGAAGGTGGCTCAGTGGTAGAGCGCTTGCCTTGCATGCATGAGGCCCTGGATTCGATTCCTCAGCACCACATAAGCTAAAAGAAAAAAGCTAGAAGTGGTGTTGTGGCTCAAGAGGTAGAGCATTAGCCTTGAGCTGAAGAGCTGAGGGACAGCGCCCAGGCCCAGAGTTTAGGCCCCACGACTGGACCGCCCCCCCCCCAAAAAAAAGAAACAAAAATTTAAAAACATTGAAGGCACAAAGGACAAAATCCATATGTACAATATAGTGTATGGAATGCTGTGGAAAGAATAAGAGAGGAAGGGGAAGGTGAACTAAGGCCTTTCTGAGAGGATCTAGAAGTATCCACACATGTAGTCTAGAAAGACCACAAGACGAAAACTATAGCACAGAGATTTTAAAACATGAAGGAGCCAGTGGCTCATGCCTGTAATCCTAGCTACTCAGGAGGCTGAGATTTGAGGATCACAGTTCAAAGCCA